TCTTAAAAAGTACTCTAAAACATATAAATAAGTTACCCGGGCAATTGATTTGCATTAGCCAATCAGACGAATTTCTGCCTATGATAACCAATATCGCCATAAAAATTTCGCCCCCACGTGAACAACGAAAAATTCTTTAAGTTCGCTTATGTTTGGGTTAGCGCCTAGTTTAGGGTCCAGATTTAGGTAATCCTATAGTAAAATCGCTCAAGGAAAACTTTTTATTAGTGCATGAAAAGTAGTTTCTTATGCAAATTCTTGAGAAATAAGTGATTTTTGACAAAGACGACGTTTGTTTTGAATTTTCCTGATCGTGTTACGTTATACCAAATCATGATCTTTTATTGGCCGGTAATCACGTGGGGCGAAATTTTTATGGCGATACTCGTAACCCATCTTCTCCAGTATCGCCATCAAAAATGTAACTTTCACGTGACCACCGAAAAAAAACTTTTAAGTTCGTTTATGTTAGGGTTAGCGTTTAAACTAATGTTAAAGGATGGGGGTGGTATAGTAAAATTACTTATGCGAATTTTTGAGAAAAAACGATTTTTTACAAAATTGACGTTTGTTTTGGGGTCGTCTAAAGCGGAGCAGAATCACGTGATATATGACCAATCAAATTATAGAATTTTGATGATCGCCGGCGAAGCAAAACAAGAAATAAAAACGAAAAACCTGAAAAATACAAAAAACGGCAGTCTAAACCTACCTCAGGAAGGTTAATTAAAAATGTCGGGAAGGCAATTTTGCTTATATATAACTACCTAAAACCTAATCTAACCCCAATATAAGATGACCCTAACCCTAAAGTTAATTCAATAAAATATATATTATAAGAATCTGCTCCGCTTTAGACGTCCCCTTGTTTTGGATCTTCGCGTTACACCAAATTGTGATTAATTATTGGCTAATCGATGTAGATCGTCACGTGAAAGCGACATTTTTGATAACCTTGATGGCGATACTGGGGTAGCGCAGGACAGTATGGACAGTCAAATTCACGTAATATTGCTAAAACCACTAAACCTTAACTGTCCCTAACAACTATTCACGTAATTTAAACTGTCCCTAAGAACTGTCCGTAGCTTGTCCGCTGGGTAGTTTACGTAACCCATTCGTAGCACATGACTTTCGTCTAATTGGCTGATGTAAATCAATTACCCGGAGTACTTTTAAAAATCGCCATAAAAGTCATTCTTAGTTTTAAACGAACATTAACATTCACTATACAAAAGAATCTAAGAAGAATCCTACTTTACTTACAAGACAGAATATACAAATGCCTATTAAACCGCGTGAAATTATACTGTAGTGTTCCGAGTTAGTAAAAATTTTACCAATCGATTAGTTGCCAACTATAGTTGCAACTAATGTTGTTAGACAAACCCCTTTTACAAAATGACAGAAGATGAGACCTACCCCCCTCAAATGACAAAACCTCTGGCGAAACTGACAAAACCTGCGAAACCTGCGAAATCTGTAAAACCTCTATATTCAAGTTTTGTAAACAAAATACTGTATATTAACTATAATATTGTAAAAATTATATTAGCTAATAAGTATTTGATTCAATATTTAATAAGCAGGCAATTAACAAAAAATCAAATTAATATTTTTAATTTTATTAATTTTATTGATTATTTTTTATTAATTTTGTTATCTTTTGTTATTTTGTTTACCTTTTATTAGTTTTGTTACCTTTTATCAGTTTTGTCACCTTTTGTTAGTTTTGTCACCTTTTATAATTTTGTTATTTTAAAAATTTTTTGACAAAAGACAAAACCTATTTTCGACTTTTGTTAGTGACAAAACCTTCAGGTTTTGTCTAACAACATTAGTTGCAACCAGTAGGTCATGTTCAAGAATATCTACAACATATTCCCCGATACATAATCTCAATTTTTCAGAAGTTTGCCAGTAGAACTTATAATATCAATTTTTCAGAAGTTTGCCACAATAGAACTTAAATATTCACTTTCGGGTTTTTACTTTGCAGCACTCATATCCAACTTCATATAACCAAGATGGTCATAATCAATGTTGTTAAAATTAATGGCCGACCAAAACTTTGCTGGTCAAATTAGTCTGGTCAAATTGGTCAAATTGGTCAAACTGGTCAAGTTTATTATATATATAAATATAATATATATATATTATATAACTAAATTTACTATTTGACCAATTTGACCAATAAAATTCTTAGACCGGACTGGTCAAATTGGTCTGGTCAAACCAACACTGGTCATAATGTAGTATTAAATTTTATAAGTCATGGCAATTCATAAATTACAGCCTGCAATTAGCACCAAGGACTAGCAAAAGCTAGGATATTATTTATATCTCTAATTAGTACGTTTAATATTAGGATTAGACGTTAACAAATTATACAACAATTTTTTTGCAAAGGTTTGTTTTGAACTTTCACGATTGGACAATAAACCAATCTGGATCTGAAATTCGGTTTGAATTCGGGCCAATCAGAAGTGTTTAGATTTATGAAAATAAAAAGTTGACCCTAATTAGATTAATCCGGGCCCAATTCGAATTTTTTTGGCTCAAACCGATTTACAAATCCGAACTGATCTGAATTTTCTTAACATTAGATGTAATTTTATTATGCTTGAGATTTTAGGTCTGGGGACTCATGAAGATTCATAATTTAGGCCGTTTCTGCGGGTATCCTATTTATTCTTACTAATATTCCTATTGCCTTTGCTAATCGACTTTTCGCATGTTCAAAAAATCCATACATCGTATTGCTTATTTATGATTCCTTTGCACAAAAATATAGCGTTCTTTGCTTCGCTCCAAATAATAAACCTCACACTATTATGTCTGTTTTATCAATATAAAATTTTGACTAGGTTTTAACATAACATCAGCTTTAAATTTTTAATATATAAAACTGACAAATTAAATTTGACAGCATCAATATTTTACCAGAACCCTGGTTGAAATCAGGAAAATATGTGGTCGGAATATCGATCTTATGCCATGCCGACATCGTCCTTACAATTTAGCTTTAGCATACTTTTTGAAAAACTATGAATTTTCTGCTACGAAATCAATCACCCAATAATAATTTTTTTGAATTGTAATAATCCTAGAAATATAATCAAAATCCTATTACAAAATTTCACTTTCCATGCTGAACGATTAATTGATATAGATTTTTTGTAGTCCCTGCATACTATATCTGCCATTCGGTTATTTATATCGTACATAATATTAACGAGAGTTACTTCTGGATATCTCGATTCAACCATATCAACTGATATAAAATTAGTACAAAGATTTACTATATACATAGAGCATCCATGTAAATTCCTATAATAATTGGCACAATCCAAGTGTTCTTCATAATTTTTCTTATTTACGACGAGTTCAAAACCATATGTTGGTAAATTGTGCCCACAAAGAAAAATGTCCAAACGTTTACGTCGATTACCGTTAATATCTCTTTTCTTTGCCTCAACTATAACTCGATATTGTAAAACGGGATAAACATTGGATAGTAAATATTTGAGAACAGCTGAAAATTCAGCCTGGAATGCGTACTCCGACGGATTATTGTCGGCATTAAGAGCTTGGCGTGCGAAGATATTCTGAACAGCGAGGTTCTACATAAAGCGAGTTACTTAGTTAAAATGGTCATTGTTCAACGCAACCTAAATTTACATAGATACTCACTTCGACAGTGTTTTCTAATAACCATTGGATGTCAATTTCACTTCTCGTTTTTTATGTCAATATCAGGGCTACATATCATTGAAAGTATTATACTTCGGAAGGATCGGCGATGAACATTTTATTTCTACGTAATCTTCATCTATAGTCTCAGAAACAACAATTCCTTCCGCGAGAAGTCGGTATATTTCATCATCATCATTACACTTTACCTAAAAGCAAGAAAAAAAAGTAATATGCATACATAAGTATCATAATTGACATAGCTGATCTAGAGTTTAGAACCGATTTTATATTAAAACCGGTTTCAGCATATGAAAAAACCGATTCAAACTCTAAGCTGAACTTGCCTCGTAAATATAAGACCCGTAGCGAAGAACAGAACCAATAATATCCATCTGTTTCAATGAAAGATCTTTAATAACACGAACAATTGACTTATATGTTCCTAGTTCCTTGATAAACTTTATCAATCTCGTAGAGGAATATTTTATCCATTGATCAAATGATAGTTTATTTTCACCAATTATAACTTCGGTTTCAATCGCTTTACAGCAAGCGCCAACAAGGCCTTTGTGGCCATTGGTACATTCGAAAATGTCTTCAACAATTTCATTTATATCGAGATTAACACCATATTGATCGCTATATTGATTAAGAAGCATCTTTATCTCATCTTTATCAAAAAAACATGGTACGATGATATTTCTGGTCACAAGATTGGTTTGCGCTGGAAACTGACCAACCCCCACTAGTGCAAACGAATGTACACAATAAGTTGAACGGTTCTTAAGAAACTGTAATGTATGAATTAGTTCTTCCAAAATTACTGGTTCCTCAAAAATGTTAGAAAAGTCATCGATTATGAATGAAACAGGCGCCTTATTCCTTTTTTTTTAAAAAAAAAATGTAAAATCGTTTGCCCCGCAGTCTCTTTTATCATTAAACGAAAATCGGTCATTGTTTTTAGCACGAAATAATTTACAAACTGACTTCCAAAAAGCCATTTTTCCATTTCTTATATCAATCCCGACACCAAATGTTATCACGTATATTTCGAGATCAGGAACTGGTAATTCATTGGCATTTGACTTTTCTAGTAGAAGATTTATAGCTGCGATGATAGAAGTAGTCTTTCCGCTTTGGCGGTTACCTTTAACATAAATATAATACCCTTTTATAAGATATTGATACAATTTCGTAACTGTATATTGGGGAGCAACATAAAAATTGAATATTTCATTGGCTTCAACGCCTTCAGCGAAATGTTCTGAAGAAAAAAAAAATATATTAAAATTTCAATTCATTCGTTTCAGACAGGTACTCTCAACTTACTAAACAAGATATCATTTTTTATTTTTTTAGGATGTCGTTCCGTAGAGCCTTCATTATTACGTTTTTTCTTTGGTTCTTGATTTTCTTTTTCCTTTTCTGATATCTGTAAAACAACAAATTGTAAAACAGAAGAATTTGTGAGTAAGATCATCTCTGACGTAAGAAAATACACGGCTGACGCTTTCTTAGAAATCAGCAGACTATCAAGGAATCTCCCATAGTAAAATATGCACGTGCAGAGGAAGTGAACAAAGCTTATAAAAAATTTGTTGGATCTTTAGCCTTTGAATCATGTAAAGATCCTTTTTTACAAGGGGCACACAACGGCTGGACGCTCTTCTTCCCTTGTGCCAGTGGGACAAGGGCGTAGCACACCTTACTACTTTTCGTTAGTGAAACACTAACCTTTAAACTTCGGATTAAAGCTATGACTTTTCTTGCTTCACGTGTTTCGGGGGTTAGATTTTCTTTTAGCGTTTTTAGTTCTTCAACGAAAAAATTGCGGCACGTTCGCAGTGATTTGTTGGGTGTTGTATTATGGATGAAGTCGGTCCAACCTTTCAAGTCCCATTCGAGGTACGACGTATTTTCCCAATAAGATGGGAGAAGAAGTTTTTTTGCAACGGTTTTTTCTAACATAGGGAAAAGAGGTATGGATTTTAGAAAATTTTATGAAAACACGCTTATATTTATAGGTAAGCAAGTTACACAAAAAGGGATTATACGGCAGCGTGAAAGTCGCGTAAGTTGCGTGTAGATCTGTGTAACCATAATATGTTCGTTTTTGATTGTTTAGTTAAATATGAACTTAGTATATCAAAAACAATATTTTTAAGTAATTGGAAACCGGAAAAAACCGGTATAAGTATTGACAAGGACGTGGAATAATATCGATTTACACTAAGGGTTGTATTGACGGCCCCAAACTATACTCTGCTTTATCTTTACGTTAATTTTGCCCAAAATCCGTAATGTTACGCTTCCCTACCGCTACGATTTGACCCTAAAATGTCGTTTTGTATATGATCAATACCGTATATTTTTCCACGTCCCTGCTATTTGATTGGATTATTGTCACGTGA